CTACGTATGTGAGCATGGCTCTAGATTTGCTTCATGTTCAGAACATGAGAGAGAGGTATTCAAGCTCCAAGGGACAGGTTCTCCTGTGGTACACCCTGTCCTACTTCCACCAAAGTCAACCCAGCTTATTTGTTCTGCCTGCCCCCTTCCACTCTCCAGGGCCAACAAACAACCAAGAAAAGGCACTCTTGGAACAGCACTGTTACTTACACACATGCCCAGTGACTTACAGCCAAACAGACAGTACAGTACCCAAAATCAGAAGATGCTGCAATATTTTTACAAGAAAATTAAGCTGCTTCTCAGCCTTTACCACTGTTATAGGTAATGTAAGTTATATATGAAAGGAACCTATTAAAAAAATCATCCTATTACCTTCAGTAATGAAGCAAATGCACCAACATGACAACTGCTGAAGGGGTAATCAAAGTGCTTTTTGTGGTTGTAGATCCAACTACACAAGAATTTTCCATTTTGGCTAAGCCGTTTCCTGGTTCTTGCGAAGCTCTGGTTAACCAACAAAACAGTCACCACCACAGCCCACAGTCCTGCAACAAACCAACCTGTATTTAAAGACAACACTAACTCAGAAACTTACTGGAGGGTTCTGCAGGCAGAATGTCTGACCCCTTAATGAGCAGTCACCACCACAATCCAAATAGTTGACTTAGAACAATCAAAATTTCAGAAATCTCAAATAAACTTAATGCTACATAGAAAGAAAATTAGAAAAGGAAACAGAGTACAACTGGATAACCACAGGCTGAAACCAAGGTGTCAGTTCAAGACAAAATAATGCACTGGTTGACATAGAATAGGATTAACAGTGTTGATGCCAATGTGTCCATAAAAGCACGCTGGTTATCACCTATGTCATAAACACCATTTTTAATAAGAAATATCTCATACCAGCAATATTTTGAAGAATGTGAACACAGGTAAACAAACTATTTAAGTCTAAAATAAGCAAGAATGTTAATTTATATGAGTTATTTCCCAGTGACAGTGACTACCAGTAGTATGTTCTTGACCTTGCAACAGAATCCCACATGTACTGAGGGATAAAGGCATTTAAGGGTAGTTGCTGTGAAATATGTCATGCATTGTAAATGCATTTGCTTGTGTTGTGGTTAATTGGTACATGACCATTCTTAAAGAACTCAAGAAACACAAAGTCATCACAGAGCTCTGGAATTGGATGCCACAAATACAACGCAGTCAGTGAAGAATCAGCATCAAGCGCATGTTTCTGTAAGATTCCTACACATAGTATTTACTTTGCCCTCCATAACAACACATGACACCATTTGACGGGACACAAATCAAGTGGAGTAAAAATTAACAAACAGTGAAGGATCTGCTGAGGTACACTGGATGCGAGAAACCTCTAGTCACTTGAATACAACCAAGCGTCAATTCTTATCTCTAGGTACAGAGGACACAGGCCACAGTTACAGAACAGAAGGCTCTTTGAAAACAGTTTGCATCATGTCAGACACATCATTTGACCATGAAATCCCCATGCAATGCTGCAGTCAGAAGTGCCAACAGAATCGTTTGTTATATAAATAGGTAAATACATAGCATATTTTGATTGTCACCGGCATAGTTACTACAGGAATTTATCTCAGTCCTGATATCTACAATTCAAGACGGATGTGTAAAAATCAGAGAGTGTCTTCAGGGAAGTAACATAACGAGAACAAAAAATAGTAAAATATGCTCAACGGACACAGTGTCATCATTATTTACATTTCAGGAGTGTACTTGATTGCTTTATGCATCCAAGGAAAAAAAATGCTTGTTCAACAGCTCTTCAGTACAACACGAAAGTAATAACTTTGTAATGGTCAAAAAAAAACAGATACCAGGGATAAGGCAGAGTAAAGGTGCAGAAGTTTCAACACCGATGATAAATAACAAACTGCTAACCTAGTCTTGAGATAGATTTGCCTTGCTGGACTGTTTCCTGTTTTCAAATGGTGGAGTTTTTAGAAAAACATGCTTTATCTTGACAAAATCAGTACAGAGGAGCCTAACATTTTATGCAGGAAATCATAACAAATATCCACAAGGATCCTTACGGATTCCAGGCTGTCAAATGCAACAAAGACTTTCCCAAAATCCCGGCCTTCTCACTTCAAGTGCATATGCCCTTCAGTCATAACATTTTCACAACATTATAGCCAACAATTATGTCAGTTACCTAAACAGAGCAGTAGTCTGAGTCAAGTATTTATATAAATTTTATATATATATTATATAAACATTACCTAAAACATGAATACGCATAACGTATTTATGTATAAAAATAATGGGGTTTATGCTTCTGATGAAGTTTATCAGGTAGAACACGCAAGCTTGCCACTGTCAAGTGGGAGTCTGAGTGACAGGTGACAAACGCAAGCAGGATACACTGAGGTGTTACATGGGATCCTTGCCATTTCCTTCCGTAACCACACGGGATCCCGCAGGCCAATAAGCAAAAGAAACAAGTCAAATCAGAAGGCGACTTTATTCAGCACTGTATGAGGAAAGGAATAAAGAGTAGGAGGACAAAGAACAGAGCTATCAGAAAGTTGAGGTGAGCTGCATGATGACACCTACAGCAGTAGCAGCTGCTATTTTATTCCATCTCGCAATTACCTCTTGGTATTTGGTAGTGACGAAAACTGTACTAGACTACAAATCCCGAGATGTGTATTGGAAAGCTAAAACTATGCCTATCAGGTTCAAGTCTCCTCAGAGGAGTCTACCTTCAACAGGTAGAACCAGACATCACTTGTAAACGCAGCTGATCAGTCTACAAACACTCTTTTTTTCTTCTCAAAAGCAGCATGTAAGTCAGTCATGTTTATTTTTACTCTGGTAATTCAATCATGCTCCGGCACAGCTATATTTCTACAACATTTCTTAACAAAACATGTGTTCCTATGGTTAAATGTTGGTTTAATAATGAATTGGCAACATTAATGTTGCATTGTATTAGTCTTAACTGTGTAACCATGACCAAGACCAGTGCCAGCTCAAGCAGCTTTCTACCCGTGCCGACCCTTCACGTACGCAGTTAGAACCACACCATGAATCAAGAACAATTCCCAAATACGGTTCACTACCTAGCTCCCCAACAGCTCCTGTAGGAGCACAGCCTGGGGACAGAACACGGCAGAAAAGGGCCAGCCCCACATGGAAACAATACACAAAGCAACTATCGGACCACACAGAAATTGTGCATCTACACAAAAATCTTTCAGACAACATCCTTGAGGCTAAAGCCAGCTCGTTTCAGTTGATGTCAAACACGCCTTCAAAAAAAAAGGAAGAAACCTGCTTTCATTATTGGAGATTATAAAAAAAGCTTTAGAACTAACCACCACTGAAAACTATGCTCTGCTCTGCCTGTTTACAATTTGGGTACGGTTATTTACGAAGCACTTCAAAAAGTTTCCAATTCAGAGTCATAAAAACTATAGTTTTGAGTGTAAGCATTTCCTACATTAAATATCAAGCCCACACTGGATGCAAGTTGTTATACGACACTCAATAAGTTGTGCTAAATCAGGAAAAAACCAAAGCATTGTAATAAACCCAAGAATTTGAGTTGCAAAAGCAATTGAATGACACGAAATATGACAGTATTTCACTCCAAGCATATACTTCAGTGCCTTGAACAGTAGAATTATCAACAGAGAATTACATCATTTACTAAAAACTCACCTGAAAACATTATGACTGTTCAAAAATCAAAGATGTAGGTTGAGATACTTTAAACACACACACACTCTAATCACTGTTACCAAAGACATACTGCTGCAGCTTCCAGGAGCAAATGGTCATCCAATTTACCTGGCCTAGTGCATCTTCAAGCCTGATCCTCCAGCTCTATACTTAAAACACATAGGGGAACCATGTTAACTTATGTTAACTGATTTTTTGGTGGGTTTGTTTTGGTTTAGATCAGGCTGATTTTTGGTTTGGGGTTTTTTGGTTTGGTTTTGGTTTTTATTTCAAATACATTGTAAAAATTTGAGGGGATTTTGTCATTTTGTTTTTTGAAAATTGGGAGGAGGCTAAGTATTCTATTTACAGTTAATGCTGAGTAAGAAAAAGGATTCAGTACATCGGCTTAGTAACAATATTATTCCACAAAAACAACTGTCTGCTCCTCTTCTTTATTAGCCAGTATCGCTGCTTTTATTATTCCTTCAGTTTCTGCTGCTGCTAAGTGTTAAAAGAATTCCTCCCTCCAGAATAATAAGGAAGACTGAACTACTAATGTACCACTGGAGCTAATACTCCCAAAACTGGTGGTTTTTTGGATCTAAAATGTTAGATGATATTAGGAGCAATAAAACCAGGAATATTTATTTCCAATTCTTATCGCAAATCCAAAGTTCTCAACAGTCATTGCATACAACTTCCAAGGTCCTCAAAAGCAGGATACCAAACAACATTATGGAGCAGACCTTGTAACTGCATGACTGGCTAACACCCTTTTTTTGTAACCTGTGTTTTGTCAATGCACTCACTATAACCTGGCCAGAAGGAAGAACTTCATGTTTCTGCAATATGGCACCCTATTTTTTCATTACAATGTTTTAACCTTCCCAGACGACACGACAGATGCACAATTGCTTACCTTCCTTCTTGCTTGCTCTGAGAAGGAAAACATAATATATAATGCTGGGAGGGTCTTATTAAGTGTATGAGTTAGCATGTAAAAATATTTCTGAAGAAAAACCTTCATCTTTTGAACATAGTCATAAGAACTCTATTCCTTAAAATATATAGGGGTATTTGCTCATGTCAAATGCATGCAAATAATTTGATTAACAGTTAAAACAGTATTGTTTTTGTGAACTCAAATTCTTCATAATGAAGTAAAGGAAGTAAAATCTTTGCTTCATTGTAAAACTTTAGTTTAACTAAAATATGCAAATTATTTTTAAAAATCCATAGTTAATGAGGATTAAGAACATGAAAACCCCATAGTTTCTCACCTTTGTCTTTATGTAGAATGGCGATGACTGATGAATGGGCAAGTCCATGAGGCTACTGGAATTTGTGACACTGTTACTGTTAGCGTGTTCATCTTCTCTACTGCTGTCATCAGACTGATCGAAATCATCACTCTCCTGGTCCATTTCCTCCTCCTCTTCCACCTCTTCCTCTTGATCACCAGCATGTTCATCATCATCTTCCTCTTGGTTACAAGTGGATTCTTCATCCACCGTGATAGCAAGTCCATGAGGCTACTGGAATTTGTGACACTGTTACTGTTAGCGTGTTCATCTTCTCTACTGCTGTCATCAGACTGATCGAAATCATCACTCTCCTGGTCCATTTCCTCCTCCTCTTCCACCTCTTCCTCTTGATCACCAGCATGTTCATCATCATCTTCCTCTTGGTTACAAGTGGATTCTTCATCCACCGTGATAAG